AATTTTGAACCATCAGGTTTCCGCAGCATTTCCGAATTGCGGAAACACCTTATTTCACCCTGTGAAGGTTCATACGAGAAACAGACAAACCAACCAACACACAATAAAAGATCACAGAAATTACCCGCTGGGTGTGGTAGTGGAAACGCATCTTTGATAGTCTTCATAGAAGAACACTTCATTCAATTCCCCATTCAATCAAACTATTCAATCAACGTCCTTTCAGGTGATCTATACCATGGCGACCCTGATCTGTACTGTTCTTTCAACTTAGTTCCTGACTTGTAATTGTAACGGGGAAATAAACTCACCGTTATGATAAAGCACTATCCGATATCCTGCCGTCCAGCCATACAGTGTACGCGAGCCCTGAGCCCACACCGAAGTGTCTCATTCCTTCTTTCTCTTACATTTACGGGTGGCGGCTAGTTAACACAGGTTAAAAATGACAATAAAGGCAAACCATTCGCTGCAAAGGGGTGGTCGAGGTCGCTTAATAAAGGTGGTCACTTGTGAAAGATGACGATTACAATGTTTGTACTGTATGCAGGAAAGATGAGGGGTTTGAAAATAGTTCGCTTAATATAGTTGAAATGAACAGCTAGACAGAACGTATAGGAAAGGCCTTTGCAAAACAAACAAACACACAAGTAGACAAAACGTATGGGAAAGGCACGCAAAAAACAAACAAAGTAACAAACAACCAACTAGACAAAACGTATAGGAAAGGCACATAAAAAAACGAAGAAGTAGACAAAACGTATAGGAAAGGCATATAAAAAAAACGAACAAACATGGTAAAAGGCACGTGGCAAACGTTGTTTTGATTGAGTTTGTTTGTTTTTATTTTTTGTAGAGTGACTCCAGCGTGTGCTCTGACATTCGTGGTATACGAAAACGTCATCCATTTTCTCATGCCGTCCAGCTAACGTGAAAATACCAATGACTGATACATTCTGCTGCTATTAATTTTTATAAGTTGAAACTGGGTATCCTGTGTTTATATTGAAAGAATTTCATACGTGCGACGTTTCTTCAGCATCAGGCGTGGCACAGCTAATGTACATATATATTAGAGAACATGACCAAGCCCGGGCTTATGTCGTTTATTCGTCTCCTGTAACGCATGCATGCCGAGGCGACATGCAGGCATGAGCCNAAAAAAAAAAAAAAAAAAAAAAAGATCAATATCTTTTTGTAAGTTTTATAGTAACATAGTATACGTAGTCTAAGGACTCTTCCACACCAATTCGGTTTGATAAAACCTTCCCTTTCCTTACCTTTCGCTAGCAAAAACGCATCAAGAGTTCTGTGTCTATACTTACCTCTTAGGGCATTCTTGGACCTGCATATAGCCTGCGAGCAAGCTCTCCCGGGGAAGTGGGGGAGGGGGAGGGAAAAGGGAAATGAGAGCTTGCATTGGCGTCTTATAAACTTGAATTCAGAACCAGAACCAGAACCAGAACCAGAACCAGAACCAGAACCCAGAACCCCCTATGGCTCCTCTGGTGTTGAGTTGTCAAAATCTGACCAATCAGATCTTCCCCTTTTTCCTCCCGCATCCCTTCACCCCCGGGAGAGCTTGCTCGCAGGCTAGCCTGTATACAAAGCGTTCGTCTATTTCGCCTGTAAAAGTGTCACAAACTCTGACGTCAGCGCTTTTGAGAATCCTCGTTTTTGCCCGACCTCATTAAAACGACAAACCTTTGTTTTCTAAAGACTTTTTTTTTTTTTCGATCCTAAACCTTCGTTTGATTGCTTTAGTGTGAACGCGAGGCCAAAACGCGTAAAAATATATATATCTTGACAAACGAAAACGGATTATTGTGCACAGGGTCGCGCCCGAAGACGATGTCGGCAGTTATCTTCAGAAAAACACTGCAGACTCTTTTTCACTAGCAGAGAATAAGGTTCTTACTCTAAACGAATGCAGCCTTCGCTTTTATTTGTTTTACGCTATGACACTTCGTCCTCCTGAATCTTTCGAAAGTCTGAGCAGTATGGCAAAGAAATAGCGTATCTGGCCGTGATGTTTTTAGCTTTGAATAATTATCAATACTACATACAAAGCTCGCAAACCGGGCGACCCAAAGAATCCCTCTCGCTATTCTCTCAATCCGCAATTAATATAAAATGACCAAAAAGAAGGATTTTTTTCTCTCTTTATTCGCGCTTGACGTATATATTTTACTTTTTTTTTTCTATACTAGTGTGCACAGAAACGTGTCTTAAATAGTACTCGTAATCAATAGTAAAGGTGCTAGACTTTATCAGTATTTTAAGTGAACTACAGTATAGTTACCATATTGTATTAATAGTACGACTTCAGTTACTTTGTATTCACTGCACAATCGCCCTTAAACAGTTTGAAGTGTTATATAGCTGGAAATTTTTTTCCTTACCGCGCACGCTCTCATTGGTTACTTCGAGGTCACATGACATTAAAAATAAAAACTGTTTCCCGCCAAAATCTGTGAGCGGGCAACATTGCAAAATCTATGACGTCAGAGGGTCACAGTGCTCTGTTACCTGCAAATGTTAACCGGCGACCACCGTTACAGCGAGGTTTAATGAATTTCCAGCTTCCAGCTTAAAGACTGGTCTGTCGGGAACAGTTAGTTTGTTTCCCTCGGGACCAGTTATTAAAGGGGCACAGTCAGCTGATGCACATTGGATACCATGAAGTGAGAAGCGTATCCGGAATACTCTAAACAAACCTTGTAGAGTTGATCTAGTTAAAAGCCGAAATCGTGATTATAGACCCTAAGCCATATCAGAGCACTCATTTTTTTAAATATGTCATTGAGAATTCACCGATGGATTTGTCCAGGGAAAGCCAAACATCGACGAATACCTCCAAATTCGAACATCAGTATAGGTGAGAAATGATACGAAGTATGAGTCATTGTCGAAGGTTCAAGGCCGAGAAAGCTTGATTTTATAAATAAATGTAATCTTTAACTTTCCATCGATTTTCCAAATATATGTAACGATTATTTGCTCACCAATGTTATTGATTCATTTCTCTTGTTATTTTGGTAAACGAAGGCGATTTCTTATTCCTGGCACCTACGCGTTTCTCACGTTCCTTTGGATACTGTTTTTAACCAAATATCATAAAATAATGCAATAGGATGGGTAAAAGTTTGTTCAAAAAGAAGTTTTCAGTAAAAGATCGAGGATTGACTGAAACACTAAGCAAGATTGAAGCGGATTTCTAGATGTATCCGTCATTTGATTTCTGGCTGAGTTAAACGCTTTTCAAAGTAGTGTCAAGGTCAGCGCGGTCCCTGACTGTGTCCCTTAATATTATTGTATGATGGCAAAAATCACTGGAAGTCATAAACTATAACCTATGAAAAAAAGCATTGAACAAAGGTGAATAACATCTCACGCCTAGTAATAACTTGACTGCCTCGTGCGCAGGCTTTTTCAAGGTTCTGCATAGCGCAGTCGTGGGCCTCAGTGGAGAATAATGGGAACGAGCGAGAGCAAGGGGTGATGGGAAGGCAAAATATGTTCCTTTCTTCCCTTTCCGTTTCCTCCTTTTTCTCGTTTTTAATACTTCATAATTACCTTAAATACCCCGAAAACCATTGCGAGCGACTGTAGACGAGGCAGATAAACTGCATCCTGATAATGAAATCTAGGAACATTTTTATCTGATGGCCTGGAATAAATACTGTTACGGGCAAATTGTATTTGATAATTATCACAAAAAAACAAAATGTTGGGATAATATATATAAAAAAATTATCGCAATTAACTTTGCTTACGTATAGCGATAATACTGAAATCGCATTGAAGTATGTGCTAAACTATATATTAAAAAATCCAGTACTACACTGAAGTCAATGACAAACGCTAGTGAGGGAAAATTCTATCCTGAGATTTCAACCCTTTGCGTAATGTCTGCAAATACAGATATCGAGAATGAGAGTTGACAAGAAGGCAATAAAAAACGTACCCTCAAAACGTGGGATAGGAAGGCGCGACGAAGACACAATAACCATCCTATGCCCCTTGTTGAAGAGGCTTGACTATTGCATTTTGTGGGCTTATCTTTTTAATGTAGTGTATCACTTGTTAAAGTGCCCATAAACTGAATATTTTTATTTTCAAGTTAAAGTTTCACATTACTACGAGGACATTTTTATTTTTTTTTTAATTAAGCGTACTTATTACTACGAGAGCCTCTCCGAAAAAAAAATTGTGTTTTGCGATATGGGCACAATGTGATTTTTTGAAATGCACACCATGAATTGGTCTACTTTCGGAAGCCTCCCGGAAACGACGCAGATTTTAAAAAAAAGTATGTCGTAAATAAAGAAGCACTTGACTTTAGATACAAGTAAACAAGTGTAGAGTTCCCACCGGAAGAATTTCTTGCTTCAAATGGAAACTGCTTTTAAAAACTTAAGGTAAAACATGACAGTAAGATGCGTCGCAGGAAGATTTGCAACAACACTGGCCATGGCGACTTTACGAAAGCATGCACTTTCTGGCACACGGGGTTTTCAATTCATAGTTGTGTTTTACTTATGATTTATAGAACAGAACGTTCAGTATTTTTTGGTTTTCATGTTTGTGATCATGTGTTTAGTTACTCGAGCGATTACAGTGTTGTTATAAGCAGCGCATGTTCCGTTTTAAGCTTTGATCGGCGACAGTTGCCTGAGCAAGAAAAGTATGTGGTAGCGTGCATTACTACTGATCCGGAGCCTGTAACCTAAATAGCCTATTCTGACATCCATGTCCAGAAAATAAGCTATTAAGGCAAGGAATTAGTAAATCAATTCTCACTGCAGATTTACACAATTAAATCAGCTTTTAGAGTTAAAAGGCTGACGGTGAACTTTTCAATGAAAATTCCTTTTGACAACCTTAAATTTCCTAATTCCCAAAAATGAGAGAAACTAAGAAGAAATTGATGGGAAGTTTAAATTACATTACATGAATCGCTTCGCTTTCAGTTGAACTCAGTTCGTGTTATCTTGCATTTAGCGGGAAGGGTCCAGATAAAATACCTCCACCTCATCAGGTGAGAAATCCCCTCCAGGCCCCTTCAGGATATTGGCCTTGTTCACTGAAGCTGGAGCATAGTAGTACGTGCCCAAGGATGCGTGTGATGTGAGATCAAGATAAATGATGAGGTCCGAACCAAACTTTGGACCATAATATGAACGATCGTCAATTGCATTTCTTGTCCCTTCTGGCTTCACCTTACTCAAAAACGGTGCCAGCCCTTCATAATTGTTGAGAGAAAAGATAAACGCACTGGGGGTTTCGGCATAGTCACCACGGGATTCTAACAAAACAAAACATAAAAAGCATAACATAAGAATTTAAAATAATTGAATATGCTTCATGTTTTTCTATTTCTTTAACTAACATTTTTGTTGCAATGTTTATTTTCCTTTCAGCAGACAGTAAAATAGCCTATCTGTACGATTTTTATTTGTTAATTGATTATTTTTGATACTAGAAATACGTTGATCGCAATATCTCTCGAAGGCGTAAATGGGCAGCAGTACAAACAAATTGAAACCAACCAGGCAATAGATTAAACAAAAAAAAAATGGTTATAAAAAACAAAACGGGGAAAAAAATTTTTAGGAGAGCTTCTGAAACCTATTGGTGACAAGTTTTTACTGCATTGAAATTTTGAGCTTTCTAAACTAAATATCTCTCTGCCAGCTTTCTATAGGCAATGTCTTGTTGCATGGTCAGAATTAAACGCAAGGGAACCTAGTTCAGTACACGAAATTGTAAATCAAGTCATCTGGAACAACAATTTTCTCTGTATAAAAAAAACTGTTTACCGAAGAGATATTGCGGATCAAGGCTTTTGTAAAATCGGGGACTTATTTTCAGTTGATAATGCATAACTTAAACCTGAACAAAGTTTTTTCATTATGAGTGTAATTTATTCCATACTAGCAGTATGGCGTTTGTTAATTCGAACAGCTAATATTGCACCAGTGATTTCTCCTCTGCCGAAAAAGTGATATCTTATTTCCAATCCTTGACGCTTCTTCAAAGCACATCTATCGGTCTTTTCTGGCGAAAAAACAAACCACACTTACCGCTAAAGATCGAGAGAAGCTATCTGCAAAGTATCATCGTTTAACTATTGACTGGAAAAGAGTTTATTTACTATCTTTCCGCACAACATTAGAAACAAAACGTAGGGGATTACAGTTCAAAATATTAAACCGTATCGTATTTACGAATGAGAAACTTTTTCGTTTTGATATGGCTGAATCAGATAAATGTGCTTTCCGCCAAACTGAGGTCGAATCCGTCGAACATCTACTTTTTTACTGCAAAATATATCCTCTGCAAAATATCCTAAACGTGTCTTGTCCTGGCTGAGAGACAACAATATTATTGTTGAGAGTTTAAAAGAAGAGGATATAATCATCGGTAAATATGATGTTGGAGATGATTTCCTTCTAGAATCATATTTTACTTATTATTATTTTTTTTTTCATAATTATAATATCTCAAGTTTTTCGCCTTAAAATTCTGTTGGTAGACACTGTCAGAAGCTAGTGGAGCTGTATTTATCAAGAATTCAAAGATATATTCGTGTAAAATGTTGGTGCCGCCCCTTGCGCTGCCTTGTCCGTTATTGCACTTTTGATTTCTGAAACTGATTCCGGATCAACGTCCTTCATCAGGTTGTCAATAAAAGGTATAGTGTCTTCAGTTCTTCCACGGTTAACGGCTTTCTTTGCTGGCTGCTAAAGCACAACTTTGAATGCTACTTTCTCTGGATGACAAGCCTCTGATTCTTTTATTTAGTTTCATAGTAACTCGCCATATAGTTCATTAGTGTTCGTAGTATGTCTTTTTTATGTTGAGCGCTATAAGCAGTATTTGCAAGTTGCATGTATCTAAAGATTTCTCCATGCTCTTTGTCAGGGTCCAAGATTGGTTCAGCAAGCCAGTGTTCGACAGATGCTTTTAATCTAATAATTTGACATAGTGTTGAACACCGCTCTCTGCAGCACCATCGCTGATAAGCCCTCTATCTTCTGCTACAAGATCGTGAAAGTCAAGATTGTCCATTTATTACCGTATTTGTAACCATAAAAACTTTATCCCAAAATATCTACATAACGCTCTTACAGACTTCGCTTAAACTTCACGAACATCGAGGTAGCTATTGGAGGAAAGAACTTCCGTGAACGATTTTGGAAGAACTCTTCCCAGTGCCGAGAAATACTTCTGCAAGTAGAATAGGTAAAGGCTTCATTTCGTTACTATGACAATTCCAATGTCATTGCATCCCTGATCGCAACAAATTTTCATCTTTATCTAATAGAACTATAGTAGCAATTTTTCGAAGTAGTTTATGCTCAAACTAAGAAAGTATTGACCCTGAAAAACTGTATCGAGCCACCTTAACTCATTTGAATGGGTAAAACGTAGAGAGCTTAAAGGGACGCGATCACGGTTATGCGCATGCGCGCCGTTTGCCTCTTCAGAATAAATTTGTCGGGTCAACACTAAATTCGAAATCGCCATTACTGGTACAATCATTGAAAATCCTTCGTTTTATTCCGACATCCGTCGCTTTGGCGGGCCTAGTTAAACTTCGGTAGTGGTGATTAAGGTGTGGTTGTGTTGTTTGACTGGTTAAGTTTTAAGAAGACGCAAAAAAATGATGTTTTGATCGTGGAGGTTCAGAAGAGCATCGTGACCGTCTGGCAACAGAACGTTCTCAAGAGTCTTTGGAGACGGAGAAGCTTAACTCGTGAACCAGTCCCTTTAAGTATATTGTAAACGGCATATCGAGGCGTGTATTTCTGACAAATAATTCACCATTTTGGAAATGATATTTAATCAGTATTTCTCGCTTTCTATTAAAGCATTACCCTATTGTAAACTACAATGCTAGTACGATTGTTGGAATCATATTGCAGTTATGAGGAACAACTGTAGGAGTATTTTAAGGTGTCAGTGAAACACCCGTGGCACTAAAGCCCTTTAAAGGTACTTAAAAATCAATATCAAATCTTACTCCAAGGAATGTCAGTGTATCCTCCAAAGACATATTGGCCTTTCTGTACGATGGTCACAGTATTTCTTTTATTGTCACAGCCATTGTGGAAGGTGCCAGGTGTCCAACCATCTGAGGTAGCACGGTAGCAAAGGCGCCAGGAAGAATCCTCCCCAACCTCAGGAGCGCTAGCAAGAAAACGGTGAAGTTGACGGAGATAATACTGATTTCCACGTAATATTGTTGAGTTTATTGAAAATTCTGAAAATTGAAACACATGGATGATACAAAAAGGTTATTTTGGATGAGAAAATGTCACGGTCAGGGAATCTATCCTTATATCTGCATACGTTGCCACAGCCTCATTTTACTCACGTCCTGCAGGCAGATTAGAAAGAAAGGTAGATAGGTGGTGTAGTGGTTGGACGACGAATGAATGAATGGCTGGATGAATGACTAATCTTTCTTTTAAAAAAAAACGTGCATGCATGCATATTAGAATGACAATGAATAAAATGCAAGCAGAAGATAACATTAAAAACAAAACCAGTCAAAACAAACAAAAAAGACTATTAACTCCATAGCAAACAGGCATAGCAGCAAAGTCACGCGACAATTCCGAAATAAGCGAGAACGTGAAAGTGAGTAACAGCACGGTTCTGCTAAGGTACATCTCTTCTTTTCTCTTGTTCTCATTGCTCAAACGCGAGGTAAAACTGAATACATTTTTTATGGGATAATCGTGGACGGAAAGATGTAATAAAGCTAGGGTTTGGCGGACGGATGGGTACTATAGATTAATACCAATATTTTTTAGGTTAGGTCAAAGACTATTGGACATCGCGGTAATAGGGTCTTTAAGAGACCACTGGCGTTTTCCAAAGTAAGTATATTATTCGCTGATATGCGTCCCAACCATGCATCACCTCGAGCACTACCAGTTTTGTATAATTGTTCGTTTTTGTTTTGGAACAGAGCTACAGTTGTACATGTATGCATCTTCATTTCGAATGATCCCGTGATTCAGCGTTGGTCTTACAAATTGTACACATACAATTTTCTCCCGTGTTAGTAATGCCGTGAACTGTGGTTATAGTTGATATGAACTGATGCGGTGTCTCCGCTAAGAAGAGTTCTGCATTTATCAATCCACAACCTGACTTGGCAGGAATCGAATATTGGTCGTTTTTTGAACCATAATATTTCTATCCAAAGTAAAATTGTACAAGAGCTGTTTGAAGACGTGTAACTGGTTTGTTGTGTGACTGAGAATGACTTCAGAATTTTTCCACCTACTAAGCCACCTTCTAAGACTTGAAAAAGGCTGTTCCGGATCTCTTTTTTTTTCCATTTAACCCTTTAGACCCTAAGAGTGATCAGCATCAAATTTCTCCTTGAAATAGCGATGCTTTGTAAAACAAAAGTTGTAATGAGAATTAAGGACATGATCACACAAGATGTATTTGCTTGATATTTTGTCAACTTCTCCCCACTACTTCTATAGTAAATCAATAGGGGCGACAAAGGAGAATTTTAATTTAGATCTTAGGGTTTAAAGGGTTAAATAATTAGTCGATCATTAATGGATGGTGTTTATCTCGGTCAATCATCTTATCTTATACTCCTATCGTAGTACAGAATGGGGGGTTAATAGTTACTCCTTAAGAGTTATCCGAGGATGTATTTTACATGATGATGCAAATATTTAGAGATGAGCTCTGACGTTTCCACAATAGTCGTGACGACTAAGATGTTAGATTTGAATAAGTAAGTCAATAATAACTGAATAAATAAATGAAATTATTATAAAAAGAGCGAGTAACAATTTCTTATAATTTACTTCAATTTATAATAGTACATCACTGAACATTATTCCTTTTTGTACTGAATCAAAAGTCTCAAAACTAACGAAAGCGAGACAGGAATTTCAAGAACCAACCTGCCAGTGAACAGTTGTGGCCATTTCCAATGTACCCTGGTTTGCAACTACGGTTGAAGGACCCTTCGATGTTGGTACAGGTGGCATTTTTGCTACAATTGTGAGAGTTGTTCAGGCATTCGTCTGAGTCTGAGTGATAATTAAAGTAAATATTAAATCTATTCTGCCTGAACAAACAGGTAGTCAATATAGCCACCAGTATAATATAATTATTTATTATATCAGGGTCCCAAAGGGGTTTGGGGCTCCGGGGCTCCGGACTTAAAATAGCGGGGCTCCCGGGCTCCAGACCAAAATAAACAGGGCTCCAGGGCTCCCGAGAAATTAATCAAGGGCTCCAGGCTCCGCTATGCTTTTTTTGCTTTAATCCAAGAGCAAATCCTAGAATTGAGGAAATACAGCAATTTCTATTTTTTAAACGCTCTTTTTATAAATTTTTCTCCACTCTACTCGTGTTTCACAGTTATCTAGAGTTATTTATTAATCATGATGGATGCGTTTAATATAAGGTGCAAATGCTTCTGGTTCTC